CCATCACCTTATGTTCTCTAGTTCCTGGACATTGGTGTGCTGCCCTCCCCACTGAGGGCTCCAAACTCCCTGGGCTGAACTCTTCTGCCATACCATGAGGTGCGGCACCTGTTGTCACCACCTCACTAGGACTGAGGGCTTGAGCATCCAGGTGGAGTCTGTTGTAGCACCTGTACAGAGGACACTGTGCTAGTAAAAGGAACTGATTATCTTACTGAACTCTTGTGTCATGAGTCGTGCATTTGAGTCCTGTTTCTTGGTACAGTTATAACAGTCCTTTTGTTTTTTGTTTAAAATTGGTAAATGTTAATGAATTGTGCATTTTGGTTTAAGGTGTTCATTTGGTTACTTTAGTTTTCCTTTAGGTTTGGTAACAATCAAATAGTGAGGTTGTTGTAGCTTGATCTCTGAAAGTATCAGTATTAATGGGGTACAGCTATATACTTGGGATCACGTCAATGGCCTTCTTTGGGTAACTGCAAGCAGGTTCTTTCTGAACCTATTGTTTCAGATACCCCCACCCTCCATCCACTGCTGCCAGGGGACTCAGATTGACTTTGAGTTATTTGCATGTTGGGGGAGACTCCAGTTATGTTTGTCTGGGGTACATTTTAGTTTTGTTAATGGACACTGGAAGTCAACACTTTGTTTTTTTTGTGTGTGTTTTGTATCAGTTCTGTTTAATAACACGGGGTAGTTACAGTCCTGTTTTCTGTCATGTAGTCAGGGATTGGGCACTGACACTGAGACGCTGAACTAATGTATTGTTTTTCATTTGGAGTGTTGTAGGTGTTGGCAAATTCATGGACGAGCCCCCAATTTGTTACAACCTGGCTAAAGGCTGAACAATGACAGGGAGAACACACATGGGTCATAACTAAAAGTTATTTTATTTTACATAACTAAAAGAGAAATGAAGCTAAAGATTAACTTAATACATATAGTCTTGACACCAGACCAGGTGAGCTGAATCTCTCTGACTCTGCCCACTAGGGTCCTGGACAGAGAGGCTGGCTCAGAGGGTCGTCACATTGTTTTTCTGCATTGCAATGACCATTAAAACACCCACATAGTGTGTAGTACATTCACAATAAGCAACTAAAATAAATAAGCAAATAGAATGGAATTATCCTCACGGAATAATTATTGTTTGACAAGGGAAGAACAATTATAGAAAAAAGATTAGATTATAAGTGAGCCATAATATTAAAGATATGTTCATATAGAACATAAATATAAATTGTTACAAATTCCATTACATTTTTATAAAATACTAAGTTTGATATCCATTATGCCTTTTTAAATTTGTAAACTGAGCTACCTACTATGTGCTGCTGAACAGATTTTATAGGGTATACATTAAATTAATTTAAACGAACTGAAATTGGCATGGGTAAATACAACATTATATTCCTTTAGCTCTTTGCAGTTGCAAATAAAAAGGCCCAGTGAGTTAGGGTTAAGTATGGACCCTAATTCAGGAAAAATTTAATCCTGTTTTAGTATGAAGCCAATGTTTATTGTACTAATGTACTGATTTAACATATACTCTACAGAACACCTTAACTTGATACGCAAATATTAAGATAAGCTTAACAACAATAAAACTAAAAACATCAAAAGAGAAATACACATTAAAATAATTCCATAAAAAGACAACAACACACATACAAACACAGAAAAAACAAATGGGCACATAACTAAAACCATCATAAGATAATACAGAGAGGACATGTGTGTATGTGTTGTTATTCTAATGCATAATATTATATTTTACAATACAGATTTTCATCTAGAACATAAATATTAACTGTAGCCAATTCTCTTTATAAATGTTTTAAATTCTAACTGCAATATGCATGATGCCTGAGTCATCTATAATGTGGTGCTGAAAACAGTTTATACAACAGGGCTGGGGACTGCACTGCAATGGGCTTACATATGTTAAAATACAGTGAAATGGGTCAGGGTTCAATACAAAGGTTATATTCGTTTTGCTCTTTGCAGTTGCACACAATGAAGAACATTGAGTTAAGGCTTAGTATGGACTCACTAGAATAATTCAGAGAACAAGTATAATCCTATTGCAGTTGCAGAACATAAACACTATTAGTATGTGCAACAAATCAACCATGGGTTGTTATTAAACATTTTAGACACATTTTCTAAAACATTGAATTTTATTTAATATTAATATTTAATATGTATCTTTGAAAATTATTTTTGAATCATTCAGTGTATTTTGGGGTGAGACCTCAGCCTTTACTGCACGGCTGAGTTTCAGTCGACAGCAGAGATGGTACATGAGGACGGGTCTGATGGTCTGATCTCGGAGCCCATAGATGAGCGAACTCAGACATCTGGGTAAGATATATATAAACACGTAAAAAAAACTCTTGATGCGTACAATGATTAATCTTTGCAGGGTTTTTGACAGTGATACAACAATAGAGGCATGGAGAGTTGACAAGAGAGTGAGACCCAGCTGTACCAGATGAAGCAGCAGTGTGTTACGAGCCTTAAGGGCTGAAGCTTTGTCTGTGGAGGCTGACCTGGCTGCTATCACCACACCAATATAGGAAGAAATAACTGCAACACCAGCTGATAGAAACACAAAACCAGTGTATGCTTTGTCATAACTATCAGACATTGGGCTGAGAAACATGGCTATGTCAGAGCAAACATCTGTCATCTGCAGACTCTCCAGGTCTGAAAATGGAAAATCTAACAGCAAAACAACTCGAATGAGGACATTTAGTGAACTGAAGGTCCAAACCACAATGATAGCCACTGCTGTATTTCTGATAGTGACAATGCTACCGTGCCTCAGTGGGTAGCACACAGCTACATATCTCTCCAGACACATCACCACCAGTGTGAGAGGAGAGATTTCATCTGTGAGAATGGATAACATGGTAAAAACACCACACACAGGATATGACAACATTATTTTAGAGGCAGCCAGTGTGTACAGAAACTGACTCAGTGCCAATAATACAGTGTCTGAAAAAAGGAGGTTATACAGAAGAATGTAACGAGAAGTCTCCCGAAACACAGATTTACTCCTCAAGGTGAATAACATGGTCCCATTAATGAAGAGAAACACACAGCATGGCATTGCAATCAGCGTGGAAAACAACACTCTTTCCAGTAATCCCTGATACTTCTGCTCAGAAGTAACGTTGAGAGTCTGAGACTGATTTACATACGACATCTTAGATCAACAGGTTAATATTGATTTTCTTAAATGGTTCTCTAACTGAAGAACAAAAGCACCACCAGTTTGTATCTTCAGAGTACAGATTCCTGATATGTTCACATGTAAACCTTAAAATCATCCACATACATTTTCCCTGTGCAGACACTCAGCAGGGTACAGGCCTGGCTTGTTTCTGTGTAAGCAGAGTTGGTCTGCAGGGTTTGTCTGCCCTCACACATTGTTTATGAGCTCTGTCCTCACGGCTACTACACGTGACACCATCAGCATGTCATGCCACATCTGCATGGTTAAGAATTATTCATGGTGATGTAATCACCAACGTCATTATATCCATAATGCCACAGCACCTACCTAATTAGGATTAATTATGAGGAAGGTACTCAGCAATGGGGATGAATAGAATACTATTTTACTGAAGTTAAAGTGAGGTGATTTGTGTCAATATGCTTAGGTAAAAGTAAAAAGAAGGTAATTTAAAATGTACTTGGAGTAAACATTACTGTTTATGTAACAAGCAATATAAGGGTACAGAACTTAAAAAACCTGCCATCTCTTATGGAGTTAACAGTAGAATAAAACATCACCAAGGCAGACAACATGTAAACAATAAGAACTCAATAATCAGCCACAAACAAGCAAAAAGAGAGCTGCACAGTTTTTACACAATGTGTAGTGCACACACTCTCTTTGCAGCGTGGTTCCAATGCGCTGGCTTGCTCAGCAAGTTACCCTGAGAGCTTCAAGCTTCAGCTACTCTGGGAAAACTACACCCTTAACTACCTAGCCGTTTGGTTGAAGTATGATACCTGGTGCTAGGACTTTGACAGGCAGGACAAGCAGTATTAGTAGGACGAGCAGAGAAAACAAACAAGAAAGTGAGGCTTCCAAGAAGTTCTCCAACCAAGGTCAACCCATCACCTTATGTTCTCTAGTTCCTGGACATTGGTGTGCTGCCCTCCCCACTGAGGGCTCCAAACTCCCTGGGCTGAACTCTTCTGCCATACCATGAGGTGCGGCACCTGTTGTCACCACCTCACTAGGACTGAGAGCTTGAGCATCCAGGTGGAGTCTGTTGTAGCACCTGTACAGAGGACACTGTGCTAGTAAAAGGAACTGATTATCTTACTGAACTCTTGTGTCATGAGTCGTGCATTTGAGTCCTGTTTCTTGGTACAGTTATAACAGTCCTTTTGTTTTTTGTTTAAAATTGGTAAATGTTAATGAATTGTGCATTTTGGTTTAAGGTGTTCATTTGGTTACTTTAGTTTTCCTTTAGGTTTGGTAACAATCAAATAGTGAGGTTGTTGTAGCTTGATCTCTGAAAGTGTCAGTAAAATGGGGTACAGCTATATACTTGGGATCACGTCAATGGCCTTCTTTGGGTAACTGCAAGCAGGTACTTTCTGAACCTATTGTTTCAGATACCCCCACCCTACATCCATTGCTGCCAGGGGACTCAGATTGACTTTGAGTTATTTGCATGTTGGGGGAGACTCCAGTTATGTTTGTCTGGGGTACATTTTAGTTTTGTTAATGGACACTGGAAGTCAACACTTTGTTTTTTTTTGTGTGTTTTGTATCAGTTCTGTTTAATAACACGGGGTAGTTACAGTCCTGTTTCCTGTCATGTAGTCAGGGATTGGGCACTGACACTGGGACGCTGAACTGATGTATTGTTTTTCATTTGGAGTGTTGTAGGTGTTGGCAAATTCATGGACGAGCCCCCAATTTGTTACAACCTGGCTAAAGGCTGAACAATGACAGGGAGAACACACATGGGTCATAACTAAAAGTTATTTTATTTTACATAACTAAAAGAGAAATGAAGCTAAAGATTAACTTAATACATATAGTCTTGACACCAGACCAGGTGAGCTGAATCTCTCTGACTCTGCCCACTAGGGTCCTGGACAGAGAGGCTGGCTCAGAGGGTTTTCACATTGTTTTTCTGCATTGCAATGACCATTAAAACACCCACATAGTGTGTAGTACATTCACAATAAGCAACTAAAGTAAATAAGCAAATAGAATGGAATTATCCTCACGGAATAATTATTGTTTGACATGGGAAGAACAATTATAGAAAAAAGATTAGATTATAAGTGAGCCATAATATTAAAGATATGTTCATATAGAACATAAATATAAATTGTTACAAATTCCATTACATTTTTATAAAATACTAAGCTTGATATCCATTATGCCTTTTTAAATTTGTAAACTGAGCTACCTACTATGTGCTGCTGAACAGATTTTATAGGGTATACATTAAATTAATTTAAACGAACTGAAATTGGCATGGGTAAATACAACATTATATTCCTTTAGCTCTTTGCAGTTGCAAATAAAAAGGCCCAGTGAGTTAGGGTTAAGTATGGACCCTAATTCAGGAAAAATTTAATCCTGTTTTAGTATGAAGCCAATGTTTATTGTACTAATGTACTGATTTAACATATACTCTACAGAACACCTTAACTTGATACGCAAATATTAAGATAAGCTTAACAACAATAAAACTAAAAACATCAAAAGAGAAATACACATTAAAATAATTCCATAAAAAGACAACAACACACATACAAACACAGAAAAAACAAATGGGCACATAACTAAAACCATCATAAGATAATACAGAGAGGACGTGTGTGTATGTGTTGTTATTCTAATGCATAATATTATATTTTACAATACAGATTTTCATCTAGAACATAAATATTAACTGTAGCCAATTCTCTTTATAAATGTTTTAAATTCTAACTGCAATATGCATGATGCCTGAGTCATCTATAATGTGGTGCTGAAAACAGTTTATACAACAGGGCTGGGGACTGCACTGCAATGGGCTTACATATGTTAAAATACAGTGAAATGGGTCAGGGTTCAATACAAAGGTTATATTCGTTTTGCTCTTTGCAGTTGCACACAATGAAGAACATTGAGTTAAGGCTTAGTATGGACTCACTAGAATAATTCAGAGAACAAGTATAATCCTATTGCAGTTGCAGAACATAAACACTATTAGTATGTGCAACAAATCAACCATGGGTTGTTATTAAACATTTTAGACACATTTTCTAAAACATTGAATTTTATTTAATATTAATATTTAATATGTATCTTTGAAAATTATTTTTGAATCATTCAGTGTATTTTGGGGTGAGACCTCAGCCTTTACTGCACGGCTGAGTTTCAGTCGACAGCAGAGATGGTACATGAGGACGGGTCTGATGGTCTGATCTCGGAGCCCATAGATGAGCGAACTCAGACATCTGGGTAAGATATATATAAACACGTAAAAAAAACTCTTGATGCGTACAATGATTAATCTTTGCAGGGTTTTTGACAGTGATACAACAATAGAGGCATGGAGAGTTGACAAGAGAGTGAGACCCAGCTGTACCAGATGAAGCAGCAGTGTGTTACGAGCCTTAAGGGCTGAAGCTTTGTCTGTGGAGGCTGACCTGGCTGCTATCATCACACTGATATAGGAAAAAATAACTGCAACACCAGCTGAAGTAAACACAAAACCAGTGTATGCTTTGTCATAAATATCAGACATTGGGCTGAGAAACATGGCTATGTCAGAGCAAACATCTGTCATCTGCAGACTCTCCAGGTCTGAAAATGGAAAATCTAACAGCAAAACAACTCGAATGAGGACATTTAGTGAACTGAAGGTCCAAACCACAATGATAGCCACTGCTGTATTTCTGATAGTGACAATGCTACCGTGCCTCAGTGGGTAGCACACAGCTACATATCTCTCCAGACACATCACCACCAGTGTGAGAGGAGAAATTTGATTTGTGAGACTGCTGAGCATAACGAGAACACCACACTCAGGATACGTTGGCATTATTCTACAAGCAGCCAGTATGTACAGTAACTGACTCAGTGCCAGTAATACAGTGTCTCCATAAAGGAGGTTATACAGAAGAATATAACGAGAAGTCTCCCGAAACACAGATTTACTCCTCAAGGTGAATAACATGGTCCCATTAATGAAGAGAAACACACAGCATGGCATTCCAATCAGCGTGGAAAACAACACTCTTTCCAGTAATCCCTGATACTTCTGCTCTGATGTAATGTTGAGAGTCGGAGACTGATTTACATACGACATTTTAGAGAAGCATTTAAGACCACAATTCAATATTAACCTGTTGATCTAACTGAAGAACAAAAGCACAACAACGTTAGTCCAGTTTGTATCTTCAGAGTACAGATTCCTGATATGTTCACATGTAAACCTTAAAATCATCCACATACATTTTCCCTGTGCAGACACTCAGCAGGGTACAGGCCTGGCTTGTTTCTGTGTAAGCAGAGTTGGTCTGCAGGGTTTGTCTGCCCTCACACATTGTTTATGAGCTCTGTCCTCACACCTACTACACGTGACAACATCAGCATGTCATGCCATGGTTGAAGAATTATTCATGGTGATGTAATCTCTCTACCACCAATTTCCTCAATACCCTAACCAATGTCATTATATCAATAATGCAACAGCACCTACCCAGCTATGTGTAATTATGAGGAATGTACTCAGGTTCTGCTGAAATTTATCCCTGTTCTTCTCCATCAGGGTGGGCTGACTGATACATATGTGGTGTTAGAGGACAGATCTCCTCAATGGTCATTTAATGATCTCACATTGCGAAGTGTGGTCATTATAAGGGGGATTGGGATGAATGCATAAAGGAGTACCCTTAGTCACACTGTAATCCCGAACAGTTGTACTAGCTCAAAACTAATGAGGTCATAACAGTCAAATGTCGTTATGCAGTTGACCAAACTATAAAGTTTTGAGCTCTGTTGAGATTTATGCCACTTTAATTGAAAAGGGCTCAATATTTTATAGCTAATTTGTGTGGAACGCTCAAAAAGTTTAGGAACCATACAGTAGTGTCGTTCTGGTGGGTGGGTCTTATCTCTCCCTCAGGAAAGCTGAGTCAGCCATCTTGAATTTGCCTTGATGCGGGGAAGTTCTGGCCAGCCCGTGTGGATGTGGAACACAGTTTAATTTGTTTTTATTTGTTTGCAATGCGCACCTTTATCCCCCTGCTTCAAACCACCACCACCTCAGTTTTATCAGCGGGTTTCCTGGATGAACTACATTTCCCATAATGCATGCTTGCCCTGGACATTGACAGTTAGGGTTTCTCTGGCAGAGGCCGAAAGCATAACGTTACCCCTGCTTTCCGGTTTCTGCTGGTTGTTGTTTTCGCTGTTCGCACATGCGTACTGTGAGTATACTTATTTCAAATGTCCGCGTTACACAGTCAATATTTTACGTTGTCGAGCTGTGTGTATGTGTGTGCTAGCGTGAAACGAACAATGCTAAACAACATAATGTGAGTGTGTTATCGTGATGCTAACAGGCCTGTGTTTGTATTCATAGGCTCAAGTGTGTGGTTGTGAGATCATCTCGAAATCCTTTTAACAGTTCAGGTAGGATGTATTATGAAATAGAGTTATTAACAATTTGTTTTGTTTTATGTGTGTAACTGCCCCACATGTCAGTTTAATGCATTCTCATTTATTTATTTTTGGTTCCTACCTAGCTGTCAGTTGAGGCGGGCTCAGGGGTTGTTTTGTTTCTACACGGTACTACTTTAATGATACACCGCCTGGCAGAGCACGGCAAGGGAGAAACGACACGGTTGGTTGTCTCCACACTTGGTAAAGTTGAGTAAAGATAAAGAGTTACAACATTAAATGTAAACTAAGAAGACGAAGAGAGAAGAAAAGACAAGATTCAGCCCCTTTTTGGTAGTGCGCAGCCTACGAGGTGTGTTTATTGGTGTATTTGTGTACATTAAGCTCCAACTCTGCATTAGCATATTTATGTGATTGTTTACTTTCTTTTCTTCAGTTCTCACGGGTTGGTCGGTGACTGTGAATAAACCCTGTTTTTTAAACGATCTAGGGCCTCATGCTTTACTACCTAGAGGAGCTACAATGTGTTTCCACAGTCATTCTTTTGCTATTTCTTTAAATGTTTTTATCTCAACTGTGGGGTCCACAGAAAAAATAGTTTGATCACTTGAACCCTTTATCAATACTTTGTTAAAAACAAAAACATCAACAACAGAAATAGCAGATCTATGAGCACACAACTTTGATGCTTTGCTTGTTATAACTATAACTATAACTATCTTGCTCATCTTTTAACATTTTCCTTTTTACTTTAATTAGTGTACAATGAATGTTTTTGATAGATTTGGAACCTTTTTTATCTGTATATTCACTTTCTTAAATTTCATTTATCATAATGTATTATTATGATAAATGAATTATGAGAGTCAGCGTTTCACCATCAGACAGGTGCCAATAGGTGAGTTTTGTGTACAGTAAAATGTGTACTAATTTGAATTAAAAAAAAACTTGAGATTTTTGCCCTGAATTATTCACAATGTTTAGATTTTTTGCAGCAGAACAGACTTAATCAAATTACTGATGTGTTGTCAACTGGTTGGCATAATCATTTTCCCCCTCATTCAAAATTTTACACACATTTTAACTTGTACAACTTACATTTTTGAATTGCCAAAAGTGCAAGACAGGGCTGAAATGGTTTAGACTTTAATTGAAAATATTTAAATTGCAGGCTGAAGTTGGCCCAATGGAGTGGAAGTGCAAGTTGTGTTCTGCAACTTCAAATACCCGGGGACAATTATTTTGGCACTATACTGTACTGCATAGCCAATATTCAAGAGTGTCCCCCCTGCCATGTCTCTATGACAGTTGCATTTGTACTTTTCCATCATTTGAAGCGATGAAACGTCATCTGTCAAGATCTCATAATGATTCATGTAGAGTAGATGCAACTGAAGGAGCATGTGTTTTTTTTACATGTCCTTTGTGTAACTTCAAGCAGCCCTTTTCTGAGGAAATTCTATTTGGTCATTTGAGAAGTCATTTACGAAGTCATGAGATGGTAGCATGCCCATTCAATAACTGTAATTACAGAACAAATAGCTACTCAGCGTTTAATGCACACAAAAGTAGAAAACATGGTTTTGATTCAGACTTTGGTGAATGTGTTGTATTGGCAGACAATGATAGTGCCCCAGTTGTTGTTGCAGCAGAAAGTCTTGGGAAACCTGCTGAAAGTCACAGTGCAGGGTCTGCAGACACATTTGATCTTGATGAGGTAAACAGTCAGTTTGACACAGACACTTTAAGAGCCCAGTTGAACCATAACTTGGCATCATTATTCTTAAAGATGCAATCTATTCTTCATGTATCTGAAATGGCATCTCAGGAAACAGTGGAACATTTGACTCAGATATTTTCCTTGTCCCAACCGATACTCAAACATGACATTAGAGAGGTCTTACAGAGTCATGACATCACTGTCAGTGAAACACTTCTAAATAAGGTTGTCAGTACTGTTATGGACAGTAATGTTATTGTCAGTGCCACAGCTAAGGGGAAGCAGTTATCCTCAACCAAGAGAAGGAAAACCTTCATCGAAAATAATTACCCTGTGGTAAAGCCTGTACAGTATCTGCTACAGCCAGGACACACAGCAGTGCATGTTCCCATTCTTGAGATGATACAAAAAATCTTCAATCATACAGATATTCTGGACAAAATTAAAGAAACAAAAGTGGCAAAAAACAGTCATTATGTAAGCCACCAAGATGGTTTGTACTTCAAAGAGAACACATTCTTGTCTTCAGATGAGTTACAGATAACACTCATTTTGTACATTGATGATTTGGAAATAGCAAATCCACTTGGCACATCACGCAAAATACACAAAATCTGTTCAGTATACTGGACGCTTGCTGATCTTCCCAGTAAATACCGATCAGCCCTGCATGTGATTCAGCTTGCAGCTTTATGTAAAGTGGCTGACATGCAGACATTTGGCTATGAAAAAGCACTTGGTCCTTTGTTGAGAGACCTCCGTACCCTTGGACAAGATGGGGTATTCATTGAGTCTATTGGTAAGGTAGTTCAAAGAACAGTCATGTGTGTGGTGTCTGACAATCTTGCAGGCCATGATTTGGCAGGCTTTTCAAAGTCTTTTAGAGCAGAATATTTTTGCAGATTCTGCACAGCAACACAAGCTAAACTTCAGACTCATGAAGTTGCAAGTGGCGAGTTCAGTCTTAGGACAAAAGACAGCCATAATAGTGATGTGCATGCTGTAATGCATGTGGATAGTCAGAGTCAGAATGGTGTTCAGGCAGATTGTGTCCTGAGCCAACATCTAGAGCATTTTCATACTATCACTGGCTTTCCACCTGATGCCCTCCACAATCTTTTTGAGGGCATTGTGCCCGTAGAGCTCGCCCTGTGTATCGGAGAGATGATCCGTCGCAAATAGTTCACCCTTGAATATTTGAACGACAGAATTCTGTTGTTTCCATACCAGCACACAGACAAGCTTGACAAACCTCATAAAATACCACAGACCTTTGCTGTAAAGAAAAGGATTGGTGGTAATGGCCATGAAAATGCCACATTGCTTAGACTGCTCCCTTTGATTATTGGGAATGCAGTTCCTGAAGAGGATGGAGCATGGACTGTGCTAATGGACTTAAAAGGGGTGGTAGAGTTATCGCTGTGCTCAGAATTCACAGAGGAGTCCATCCAGTATTTACAGTCCAAGATACAGGATCATAGAGAAATGCTGAAAGAAGCCTTTCCAGATTTCAAACTCCGTCCTAAGCATCACTACATTGAACACTATCCTGACCTTGTACGCCGTTTTGGGCCCCTTGTACACTTGTGGACAATGAGGTTTGAGGGTAAACACCGTTTTTTCAAGAGAGTTGTACACGACACACAAAACTTTAAAAATGTGTTAAAAACACTTGCAGACAGGCATCAATACATGGTAGCATACCATCTCAGTGCCTCAGGATTCTTCAAACCTCACCAGCAGACATCAAATGTGTCTTCTGTACTGGTATCAATGCTACCAAATGTTGCCAAGACATACATTGAACAAATAACAGCAAGCAATGTTATTTACAGCACATCAAAGGTCTAGATTGATGGAATTGATTATGATGTAGGAATGTTTTTGTCTGTGGGACAAGAGGGAGGACTGGTTAACAGTAGTGTTGTCTTTCTTTGCCAAGAGCACACATCACACTACATTGAACACCTGAGATCTTATGAACTTTTCCCAAACAATCTGGCTGTTCACACCCCATCAGAGCTAAATGACAAAACACCTCTCTGCGCTTACAACATAGATGGAAGATTGCTCCTGACACCCAAGCGTTTCATATTATTACACTGAAGATTTGTTGAAGCACGTTAACAGCTGACTGCAACATTCTCTTGGAGCTTTGCGGACCAGTGGGTCCATGAATAAACTGCCCCACTCCAGCAGCTGGCCTTTTATACATCCCATCGTTCAAGTGGTGTCCCAGTGTTTGTGTGGACCAGTGGGTATGTGGACATGTATATGTTATGTGTGTCACCTTCACTCTCCATGAAAATAAACGCGTTTTTGTCTTTTAGGAACCAAAAGATGGCTGCTGCCCAGAAGCATGTGCTGCGTGTGTATGTTGCACGAGACACCGCCCTGAAGCTTACTCTACTTGAGCGACCAAAGTCAGTGGAGGAGCTGAAAGAAATAATGCAAGAGAGGTTCAAGCCGAGACTGGATGGGGACTTTAGCCTGCACTATGAGGATCCGGACTTTGATGGTGATCTTTGTCTTCTTGTGGACATCCAGGAGTTACCAGAGAAGGGCACATTGAGAGTCGTCAGACCTGAAGGTGACACCTCATCTACTGCATCTTCTGACACAGACCTACTCCCACATGTACCTGCGTTACAGCGCCAGAAGAGTTGGCCTGATCACTTTGTTGTTCCTGGTTTTGGTTATGAAATCGAGCATATACTAGAAGAAGGAAATCGTGTTTATGAAGAATCAGGACAATTGCTGAAGTTAAAGAGGTCACAGAAGAGTGAAATCCTTAAAAAAATGGAAGAAACAATCTACAGTTTTAAACCATACCCACATGAAAAGGAATTGGCAATGGCTGCTCAAGCTTTGATTACAGCTCATCCATGTCTCAGAATGACGGCTGGTGAAGATGGGGAGTTGGGATGGAAACGTCACGTAGGGTACAAGGTTGCGTCTTACCGTCACAATCTGGCCAAAGCTGGGGTTGCAGAAGTGGCCGTCAACATAGGGAAGTGGAGCCGAAACAACCCTGACAATGATCACCCCCATCAAAACATAAAGAAAGCTCGAAAAGCTGAGGTCAACTACCTCATCAACCTACCGAAGGATCAAACCCCAGCCACTCTGGAAACATTGAGAGAAGAAATCATACATGAAGTCGAAAAGACTGAGCAAAACCAATTAGTCATAGGCAAGCTCATGAACACAACCTATGCCCTTCGTCGCCAAGAAATCGTTGGAGTTCTTGTAGCTCCTCAGGTGAGAGACGTCGTGGACAGATGGCCAGCCCTACTTATGGAGTCACAGGTAAAAAAATAAATAAAAAATATTTTATTATTTTACTGTTCTCCCTGTTGAGACCAATTAATCAATATGACTTTAGCATGCCCAATCACTGTAAACAAAGTATACAGAGGTTTATTATTTTAATTTCCTTTAGATAACATTATACAGCCTGTTTTAAATTAAAGAATGACAATGAACTTTCTATTTTGACCTTGGTTCTGACTCATCCCTAATAGAATTGCACTTGGTTTTGCTACCTGCCAACTGAAAACTTCTTAAAATACATTCACAATTCTGTTCCTCATTCATCTTTGAACATTTCTGCGTAATTCTGTCCATGTACAGGTGTTTGCAGAGTTCCACCGAATCAACAACGTTAACCTGCGCAATCAATTCTACAAGGAGCTGGACAGACACACGCCTAAACTCATCACCTTGTTCAGAGACAAGGCCACCAAGACTGGCAAGATAGCGGAGGAGCTAGCCAAGCTCATGAGGATTTATGACCTTCAGGTGAATTTTTAACTTTGCATGACTCAGAAACAGATTATTAACAGATTGTTTGCAGACAACTGTAAGAAGCCATAGTGTGAATTGCCTCGACTGTGCCCCGAGGTTAAGTGATGAACACAACATTGTCATCTCATCAGAGATAAACGTCTTCACAAGATATATTCTTAAAAAGATACTTTATCAGCTTCAGTTTGTAGTAGTAGTCCAAATAACTACTGTTTTTTTTAAAAAGTTTTTTCCTTTGTGAGTTATTTAAGTATTTACAATAGAAAGTTATTAATTAAAAAAAATAATTAATTTAAGAAATGGTGACCCCAAATACTGAATCGACCATCTATAGCAATGACCACCATCAGAATATGGAGCTATTTAACACTTATTCAACCAATTTTTTTTTAAGTGTTTGCTCTGCATTTGTTTAATTACTATTGTTATGGATATTTTTTGTTCATCTAGGAAAAACCTGATGTAAATACGAGACAGGCCCTCGTCCTTCGTGCACTTCCTGTGTACCTGCGTGAAGATGCCTCCAAGTTCTTCAGGACCTGTAATGTAAGTGTACTGGCCTCACTATCAATCACTTTGCCTAGTTATTAAGTCAGCTTAAACATATGACATCACTCAGAACTCTAGGAGAACCAGGGGGGTATTCCAGAAAGCAGGTTATGTGAAAACTCATAGTGAACCCTGAGATGAGGGAAACTCAGAGTTATCCATTCCAGAGGGCTATTCCAGAACTCAGGACCAGCTCCTCTGCCTCTGTCGGACGTGGTGGAGGTGGAGGTGACTGTCACCACTTCATGGTCATCTACTCAGCAGGATGTTAGGAGACAGATGTGTGTTAAACAGCATCTGTTGGTGGTAAAGGCTCCTACAAGTTAAAATATCCACTGAATAAACTTCTACTTTGTTTAATATGTGAAATAAAACCAAAGTGAGCAGCCATCGTGAGACTGTTTTTATATTTCATTTTCAGCCGATTTAAATGAAATAAAATAGCCTAAAATAAAATAAAACAAAACACTGAACAACATTCAACCACTTCCTCAAAGGCTAATATAAAAGAAAGTGATGTTAAATTCAAAATGAAAAGACGACCGCATCTAAAACTCTGTCAGTGATTTTTATTACGGCCGCAGCCAGAAAATGTCTGCTTCCTGTTTTCTCCCGTTGCCATGGTGAATCACAGTATCGGAGCTCCACTGATGATGGCTTTATACTAGTCGTCAGGCACGAGCTCAACTCAGAGTTAACATACTCAGAGTCGACTTACCTAACTCAGATCAGCTGTTCTGGAACCGAAAACTCAAGAGTTTCACTTCACAGGGTAAGTCAACTCAGAGTTCAGGGTTAGGCTCAGAGTTTGTTGAACCTCCTTTCTGGAACCCCAGGACCTGTTTATGAAGTTTACTAGAGTTGTTATTCTGCAAACTGACATGTAGAAATTACATAAATGAAAAGGTAAGTATAAAGCATTCCACTAAACAAAAAGTATGCTAACAGATAGGTATGAAACTAACATAAGATATAAGCATATGTAAAGAAAATAGTTTAAACATGTAGCTTAGTTGCAGTCTAAGTGCTAAGTGGCAGTAATGTCTAGACATCATTAGCATGATTTGTATCCTTGAGGGGCTGAACTCATTCTTGTATTATTTCTGTTTTGTAGTCAGCAGATGGTCCAGACCTCACTGACACTCCTGTGGCTCTCCTGACAGTCGCCACAGATGACACTACTGATGCGGCCCTCTTCAGCCCTGAGAGCATCTGTATTGTCGTGGAGGATGAAATACTTGTGAGTGGTCCCACAAATCTGGCTGACTCATTTCTACTGCTCTTTGGGTACGTCTATGCACTAGACCTACAGTACCCAAAGAATCTCGAGCTTACATTCACATTTATCCAAAAAGTTGTGATGTGTCTTGAGGACAACAAACCACTGAAAGGGCGTCTGCTGACGCTGAAGAATGATTTGTTCAATGAGTGAATCACTCAGAATGGACTATTTGTTGACCTGAGTATTGAGGAAGTTTTTTGTTTTTTTTCCCTCTTTACAAATGTATGTTTGCCTGTTCTACCTCAGATTTAAGATGTGACCGTTTGCCTGTTCTACCTCAGATTTAAGATGTGACCGTTTGCCTGTTCTACCTCAGATTTAAGATGCCTTTTAAAAAGCACATGTTGAATAAAAAAAGTTGTTAAATTGTCACTGTGGTGTCACTTTCATGTTTTCTAACATTATTAGCTGATTGTAATTGTGTAGTGGGCCGACATCAGTATTTCAGTTTGGAATTAATTTTGAGTGCATATCCCACATTATGAGTTGAAAATTATTGAAAATTTTGAGTGGATTTCCCACATTATATGAGTTAAAAAATATTGAAAATTCGGAGTGAATTACTCCCTAATTTTAAGTTGGAGAATATCAATATTTATAAGATAACATTGAGATAATTTAAGTCAACTGTAAATGTAATTTTTATTTTATGTAAACTTAAAAATTTTAAAAACATCACTAAAATAACAGTGCAGGTGTTTGCGAGCGCTCCCATCCCTCATGGGGCACTGATTTCCACCCAGGAACACCCCAAAGGATAATGAGAAGTATTTTGAGAAGAATAGAGCTAAATCAGCTTCCTCATACCAATCCCAAAGGTTGTTCCCCACTCATATACCCTGGGGACTTCTGAGTCACTTGACCCACCTGTGGGGATGAGGATCCATGTCAAAGCTGTTGTAACACCTCTGCAGAGAGCATAGCTTTAGCAGCCACAGAGGTTTGATTGTTAAGGCTGCTGTTCATTAACCTGAGCCATGACTGGAAGGTCAAAGTTGCCCCAAGGTGGAAAGACTGTAGTAAGTCCTGAATCCGATTTACCCGTTCCACAGTCAGGCATGCCTGCATCGATACTGAATCCAGAAACAAGCCGATAAAGGTTGCCTGCTTTGTTGTATGCAACAACTACTTCTCCCAATTTACGGACATGCTCAGTGATTCAATATGGGGACCTTAGACCTTGTTTGTTCTTCCTCCTGAATTAAGGGGGCACAAATAATCCAGTAATTGAGATAAGGGAAAATATTTACTCTTCTCAGGCATAGTGATGTCAAGGCTACCTTAATGCATCTTTTAAAAATGTGAGGAGCTAGACACAAGCCGAATGAAAGGATGGAAAACTGGCGAGCTAGAACCTTAATGGCAAAGCAGAGATACATTCTGTGGTCTGGGTTAATATGAATGTGAAAATAGACGTCTTTGAGATCTATGAAGGTTAACCACTCTTCTTGAGTAACAGTCTGAAGGACATTGATTGTACGTATCTCTTTCAAATTCCATGTGCAAGATGTTGAATATATACGTATATATACTGTATATAAAAAATATAACATATGTCAATTATTAGATTTTACATTATATTTAACTTTTAACAGTTTTATCTTTTGTTTTTTATGACAACGACTCGTCAGGCAGACTCAGCTCACCTGGTCTGGTGGCAAGACTAGATAAACTGGAGACAGTCTGCCAGTCTTTCTCTTTCCCCTGGCTTCCACCCTGTTTGGTTTTGATGTATTTAGTTTGTCATTAGGTTTATTTTATTTTATTTTATTTCTAAAATAAACATATTTTGAGGTACAACCCACATGTGTTTTCCCTTTCTTTGTCCAGCCTTGTGCCAGGTTGTGACAAAATGGGGGCTCGTCAGGGACAAAAATAACCCATTTTGGTTCTTTTTGGTAATTTCTCCCAGTTTAGTTTTTTTTTCTTCTACCTCCTGTGACATTGGAGGTTTGTTTATTAATACATGGGCAATTTGTGGTTTGGTATGTTTTTAAAACTCCAGACTCTGCCTATTTGGTTGAATAGCATGATACATGAGTTTTTTTTTTTATTTAGGGGTGGAGAGTAAGATACCAGTCTTTTGTGCTTTTGTTTTTGGTTCAAAATCCATTGGACAAAGAAAGGGAGAACACACAAGTCGTAGCTTAAAGTAATTTTATTTTACATAACTAAAAGAGAAATGAAGCTTAAGACTAAATACAACAAAACCAAACAGGTTCATATAGTCTTGCCACCAGAACAGGTGAGCTGAATCTCTCTGACTCTGCCCACTAGGCTCCTGGAGAGAGAGGCTGGTTCTGAGGCTCATCACATTGTTTTTCTGCATTTTGATGACCAGTAAAACATCCACATAGTGTGTAGTGCATTTACACTAATTATGAAAATGTATTTTTCCTGAGTCAAAATGTTTGATGAGGGCAGAACAATTATAGAAAATGGGAAAGTGTGTGTGTAGTACCTCATATTATTGTACACCATATTACTTCATCTAATTTTACCAATACAAGTGTTCATATAGGACTTAAATATCAACTATAGCACATTTTTAAAAATACTAAGTGTGATTTGCTGATGTCTACAATGTTATCTACAATGTGGTGCTGAAAATAGTTGTACAGCCCATGCGAGCTTGGGAATGCAGTACACTGGGCTAACATATGTTAAAATACAGTGAAACTGGCCAGTACTATTGATTTAACATACTCTACAATAGACCTTAAATACTATTAGTTAGTAAGTGCAGCAATCCACCTTGGGTTGTTATTAAATATTAAACTACATTTTTATAATACAAACATTGATTTTCCCAATTAATATTCATCAATGAAAAGTTTTAAATCATTCAGTGTATTTTGGGGTGAGACCTCAGCCTTTACCAGGAAGACTGAGTTTCAGTCGACAGCAGAGATGGTTCATGAGTACGGATCTGATGGTCTGATCTCGGAGCCCATAGATGAGCGAACTCAGACATCTGGGGAGGATATATATGAACACATAAAAATAACTCTTGATGCGATTTATTATTAATCTGTGTAGGGTTTTTGACAGTAATACAACAATAGAGGCATGGAGAGTTGACAAGAGAGTGAGACCCAGCTGCACCAGATGCAGCAGCAGTGTGTTACGAGCCTTACGGGCTGAAGCTTTGTCTGTGGAGGCTGACCTGGCTGCTATCACCACACTGATATAGGAAAAAATAACTGCAACACCAGCTGATAAAAACACAAAACCAGTGTATGCTTTGTCATAAATATCAGACATTGGGCTGAGAAACATGGCTATGTCAGAGCAAACATCTGTCATCTGCAGACTCTCCAGGTCTGAAAATGGAAAATCTAACAGCAAAACAACTCGAATGAGGACATTTAGGGAACTGAAGGCCCAAATCACAATGATAGCCACTGCTGTATTTCTGATAGTGACAATGCTACCGTGCCTCAGTGGGTAGCACACAGCTACATATCTCTCCAGACACATCACCACCAGTGTGAGAGGAGAAATTTGATTTGTGAGACTGCTGAGCATAACGAGAACACCACACTCAGGATATGTTGGCATTATTCTACAAGCAGCCAGTATGTACAGTAACTGACTCAGTGCCAGTAATACAGTGTCTCCATAAAGGAGGTTATACAGAAGAATGTAACGAGAAGTCTCCCGAAACACAGATTTACTTCTCAAGGTGAATAACATGGTCCCATTAATGAAGAGAAACACACAGCATGGCATTCCAATCAGCGTGGAAAACAACACTCTTTCCAGTAATCCCTGATACTTCTGCTCTGAAGTAATGTTGAGAGTCTGAGACTGATTTACATACAACATTTTAGAGAAGCATTAAGACCAAAAATCAACATTAACCTGTTAATCTAACTGAAGAACAAAAGCACAACAACGTTTGTCCAGTTTCCATCTTTAGAGGACAGATTCCTGATATGTTCACATGCAAACCTTAAAATCATCCACATACATTTTCCCTGTGCAGACACTCAGCAGGGTACAGGCCTGGCTTGTTTCTGTGTAAGCAGAGTTGGTCTGCAGGGTTTGTCTGCCCTCACACATTGTTTATGAGCTCTGTCCTCACGGCTACTACACGTGACAACATCAGCATGTCACGCCATGGTTGAAAAATTATTCATGGTGATGTAATCTCTCTACCACCAATTCCTCAATACGCTGACCAACGTCATTATATCCATCATGCAACAGCACCTACCCAGCTAGGTGTAATTATGAAGAATGTACTCAGCAATAGGGATGAGTAGAGTACTAGATTATTTTACTCAGTATAAGTGAAATTGTTTGTGTGAATATGTATTTATATAAAAGTACAGATTAGTTCAGTGATAAAAATGCACTCTTAAAAACGCTACGCAGTAACGTTTACTGAAATAAAAATCTGGGTTAGAGGGAGATGTGTTATGATAAGGTGATATGATAGACCTATTTAATGAAAAAAAACTAATTTACGACACTGAATAAAGTGCATTAATATGACAAACTATGAACATCACAGCACAGCTGTCCAAACCAACAATAGATTTATTTTCTATAGATGACACTTTGCAGCCTGTGCATACAACTGAATTATTAATTATAGAACTGTCTCCCTCAGTGTAGCCTCGCGAGATTTATCCATAAAAGAGGACAAAACTCAAACAACAAAAATGACCAAAAATGAATAAAATGTTATGGACACTGCAGTCGGTGGAACGAGTAATATAAGGTTACTTGTTATGGGTTAAAACCAAGGTAGACAACATGTAAACAATAAAAATTCCACAAGCAGTGCAACACAACCTGAAGAAGACTTGTAACTTGTGCTGAGCAATTTACAAGTCCTTAGTGATGTGAAAGTCTGAAGACCAAGAGGACCAACACAAACTGTAGAATCTCAGGACGGAGAGGAGAATGCAACAGGTGGGTTGTAACTTGACTGACCAAGAGAGGGCAGTCGGGTTCTGCTGAAATTTATCCCTGTTCGTCTCCATCATGGTGGACTGACTGATACATATATGGTGTACGCACCACGTACCAGATGGTGATGGAAGAAGTAAGGATGGACTCGATGATGCCGCTGTAGAAGTACACCATCATCGTCTTTGGCAGGTTGAACTTCCTCAGCTGCCGCAGGAAGTACATCCTCTGCTGGCCTTTCTTGGTGATGTTCAGCTCCCACTTGAGGTCCTGGGTAATGATGGTACCCAGGAAGCGGAAGGACTCCACAGAGTCAACTGGGGAGTCACACAGGATGATGGGGGTGGGTGGGGCTGGGTTTTTCTGAAATCCACAACCATCTCCACTGTTTTCAGAGCGTTTACCTCCAGGTTGTTCTGGCTGCACCAGGTCACCAGATGGTCAATCTCCCATCTGTAGGCAGACTCATCTCCACCAGAGATGAGCCCAATGAGGGAGGTGTCATCCGCGAACTTCAGGAGCCTGACGGACTGGTGACTGGAGGTGCAGCTGTTGGTGTACAGGGAGAAGAGCAGAGAAAGAACACAGCCTTGGGGGGATCCGGTGCTGATGGTCTGGGAGTCAGAGACATTTTTCCCCAGCTTCACGTGCTGTTTCCTGTCAGACAGGAAGTCTGTGATCCACCTGCAGGTGGAGTCAGGCACAGTGAGCTGGGAGAGCTTGTCCTGTAACAGAGCTAGGAAGATGGTGTTGAAAGCACAGCTGAAGTCCACAAACAGGATCCTGGCGTAGGTTCCTTGGGAGTCTAGATGCTGGAGGGTGAAGTGCAGGGCCATGTTTACTGCATCGTCTACAGACCTGTTGGCTCTGTAGGCGAACTGCAGGGGGTCGACCCCAGGCTATCAGGCTGGTAATACCCTCTTGCCATAGTTTATCTCATTCATCCTCAACCCTCTGTTCTGCCTTCTGTCCATCAAGAGTCTGTTCAACTTGGTTTCCGTGCAGCTGCACTATGTGACTTCAGTAAGACTGTGGAGGTGGGTGTGGTTTGCGCTCAGCTGCAGGAGGGAGAGGTGTGGGGAAGGCTTGGGAGAGCGGCACCAGGTGAGTTGATTACCTCACCTGCCCTTGATTACCTGATGACTCTACCCTTATTCTTGCAGTAGTGTGCTGGGCCAGAGAGACGCTACCGGGAGTGCCATTGAGAGCCAGAGGCGACCGAGCTAGACTTTATGTGCCGTGTGAGCAGTACGCTGAATAAAAGTGGTGTATTCATCGACGGAGTGTGGTTGTTTGTGTGCTGAGGGGACCCCGTCTGTAGCTTGACGTGCTACACTGGCGCCTGAACAGGGACCGGCACACAGCAATGTCTGATCCACAACCGCCTATACAGCGGCCTCCACAGCAGCCGACTCCACAGCCGACACCGCAGCCGCCTATGGAGCAGCCCTCACAGCTGGTCTCACTGCTGGGGCAGATGCTGGGGCAGATCACAGCAGTACACAGCCAGCAGACGGCGATTAACAGGCGGCATCTGGAGGCACTCCAGAACCAGGCGGGGAAGCAGAACCAGCTGCTCGAGGGGCTGCTGGCCCGGTCGGGGGCTCAGGCACCATCTCCTCCACCCTCCTCCTTCTCCGGTATCACCATGCACCGGATGACAGCGGCGGATGACCCCCAAACCTTCCTCGAAATGTTCGAGGCCACGGCGGAGGCGTGTGGCTGGCCGGCGGCGTAGTGGGCCGTGCGCCTGCTTCCCCTGCTGTCAGGGGAGTCCCAGACTGCAGCGCTCGGCCTGCCAGCTTCTTCCAAAGACCCGGGGCTTTGGTAGAGGCGTCATGGGTGGACATTAGATGCGTACATGGGGATATTCACAGATACGTGGTTGTGCCCGTGGAAATTAGATATAAGGGTAAAAAGCATACTGTTAAGGCCGTGGTTAGTTCCCACCTGACGCACCCCCTGGTTTTGGGCACGGATTGGCTGGGGTTTAATCGATTAGTGGGGCAGAGTGCGGGGGTGCGTTCACGACCGGTAGGGTTGTGGGATATGTGCGCCGTGCTCAGTGGTGACGCGAGGTTGTCCGACACTGCAGAGGGGGAGGGGGGACCTGTGGAGCCTCTGGCGGAGGCACCACAGGTCCCCACGTGGCGCTCCATGGAAGATTTTCCACTCGAGCAGTCTCGTGACAGTACTCTGCGCTTTGCCTTTGACCAAGTGATACAAATTGATGGTCAGCTGGTGCGCCCTGATGCGGTACAGACATATCCGCATTTCGCATTGGTTAGGGACAGGCTATACAGAGTGAGTCGTGACACTCAGACAGCAGAGGAAATCACCCAGTTGTTGGTACCGGACAGCCGCCGGGAAACAGTTTTCCAGGCGGCTCATTATAACCCAATGGCGGGGCATATGGGGTATGAGAAAACACTTAACCGGATAATGGCCCGATTCTATGGGCCTGGCATTAGGGCAGATGTACGCCGCTGGTGTGCGTCTTGCCCTGAATGTCAGTTGGTTAACCAACCGGCCATCCCGAGAGCGCCTTTGTGCCCGTTACCACTTGTGGAGGTTCCATTTGAGCGTCTTGGCATGGACCTCATCGGGCCGTTTCACCGGAGCGCACGTGGATATCGTTTTGTATTAGTCCTAGTGGATTATGCAACTCGATATCCAGAAGCAGTGCCTCTGCGCACAATCTCTGCAAAGGGCGTGGCACAGGCACTGTTCCAGGTCATCTCCCGAGTTGGGATCCCAAAAGAAATCCTAACAGACATGGGCACCTTGTTTATGTCACGCACACTCCGGGAACTTAATGGGTTGTTGGGCATCAGGTCAATTCGGACTAGTGTGTACCACCCTCAGCCCGACGGCCTTGTCGAGTGTCTGAACAAAACCTTGAAGTCCATGATCCGTAAGTTTGTGCACGATGACGGCCGTAATTGGGATAGGTGGCTAGATCCTCTGTTGTTTGCAGTGCGCGAGGTGCCCCAGGCCTCAACGGGACTTTCTCCTTTTGAACTGCTGTTTGGCAGGACACCACGGGGGGTTCTGGACCTTGTTAAAGAAAGCTGGGAGGAAGGTCCGAGCCCAAGTAAAAATGAGGTTCAGTACGTCCTGGACCTGAGAGCAAAACTCCACACATTGGGTCAGTTGTCACGGGAGAATTTGCTCAGGGCCCAGGAGCGTCAACAGCGCCTGTACAACAGAGGAACTCGGCTCAGACAATTTGCACCGGGAGATAAAGTACTTGTATTACTCCCTTCTTCCAGCTCTAAATTACTCGCCAAGTGGCAAGGGCCCTTTGTGGTCACACGGCGAGTGGGTGATGTCGATTATGAGGTTGTGTGTTCTGACAGGGGAGGAGCAACACAGATTTACCACCTCAATCTCCTCAAAGCATGGAGAGAGGCGGAGCCTGTTTCTCTGGTGACCACGGTGAAAGAGAGAGATGAGTTGGGGCCAGAGGTACCAAATTCCACCAATCCAGCCTCACTCCTTTGTGATGACCATCTCACACCGTCGCAGAGAGCAGACGTTGCCGCGTTGCAACAGCGTTTTGCTGATGTGTTCTCCCCCCTGCCAGGACGCACAAATCTCATACAGCATCATGTTGAGACTCATCCGGGCTTGACAGTGCGTTCACGGCCCTATCGGTTACCTGAACACAAAAGAAAAGTGATTCAGAAGGAATTGAAGGCCATGCTGGAGATGGGGGTAATAGAAGAGTCCAACAGTGCCTGGTGTAGCCCCATTGTTCTGGTACTGAAGAAGGATGGGTCTATTCGGTTCTGTGTGGACTATCGCAAGGTGAATGATGTGTCACGGTTTGATGCTTATCCGATGCCTCGGGTTGACGAGCTCCTGGATCGGTTAGGCACTGCTCGCTTTTTCACGACACTGGATTTAACCAAGGGCTATTGGCAGATTCCCTTGTCTCCAGAGTCTAAGGAAAAACGGCCTTCTCCACTCCGTACGGTTTGTACCAATTTGTCACACTTCCCTTTGGGTTGTTTGGTGCCCCAGCCAGTTTCCAGCGTCTCATGGACTGGGTCCTGCGTCCGCACTCTGCGTATGCTGCCGCCTACTTGGATGATGTTATCATCCATAGTAACAGCTGGCGGGAGCATGTGCAGAGTGTGGTGGCGGTGCTCGAGTCACTGAGGCAGGCGGGGCTCACGGCCAACCCGAAGAAGTGTGCCATTGGACGGAGGGAGG